TAAACACAAATATCCTATTTCATGTGTGGGAAAGGGGGTTGGGTGGGTTCAAACTTCAGTAACATAATTTTTCTCCAAACACCAACACTTTCCTCTTTTTTAACTTATAATACTGCGACTTGTCTAAAAAGGGGGGGGGGGGGCTAAACCTACGCAGCAATATTCAATGTCTATACTTAGTATATATTTGTAAAAAAGCCCCCCCCCCCCCCCCCCCCCCCCCGGTTCCGACACTTAAATGCTGAACCTGGACAACAAACAAGAGAATTTTCAAAAACCTAATTGTAGGTAGAATATGGAATTCTCACGGGGGGGTTTCCTCTCTCTCTTTTTATTTGCTTTTTCTAGTAATCATTAATTATTTATGTCTAGAAATTTAATTCACATTAAATTCTATTTTCATTATCATTGTACCACAGAATCAAACTCGTTTATTACCCCTTGCAACAAGTTGCGTAAGGTATAATGTTTTGGACCCACCAGTCAGCCCATTTTTTGGGGGTCAGCGCAACTTCTTATGAACTATGCTGATATTCAGAGGATTCAATGTGTCTGTATTTGTACATCACCAGGAAATTCTGAAATCTTTATTTTTTCGGGAATGTCCGCACTTTTACATTAGATTTTGGCCATATCTTGAGATAAAAATGAGCACTTTGTCAGCTAGCACAATTCCTCATAAACCGGTGCATACAATTTCGTCAAACTTAGCAGATAATTAGGTCACAATGTGTATAGATACATGTGCATATTACAAGGAAATTACGATTCCTTTATTTTTTTCTGTGAATTTCAGCACTTCGACTTATGTGGGAGTGTGGGTTATGTGAATTTGCTCACTTTTTCTTTCATTGAGCATAGAATTATAAATAACTTTAAATCAAATTATATTAGGTCTAATAAAGCCAATATACAGTATTTATTTGATCATAAAGAAATCCGATCTGTTTCAGACGTTTTTCTGAAAATATTTTTATGAGAGTGTTATGCATGTTTTACCCCCCCCCCCCTTTCACGGGAAAATGTCTTCATATCTTCAATAGGTGAATGATTCGTAATAATGCATACTTTATTATAAATTTGATGAAGTTGAACCATGTTTTCAAAAAATTTATTTACACCATTTACAGACAAGAGTTATGTTTATTCTTGAAAAAAAAATTATTTGCATTTTCTTCAGTCAACCCCACGGCGCTTTCAACCTTTGATATTTTCCCTGACGAAATAAATTGATAGGCATGGACCACGTGTGTCCAAGCAGTTTTTTACTGTTGAGTTAGCAATGGATTACATGATTTATGAGATGCATTTTTCAATAAAAGTGAAATAGGATAATTCTTTCGACATATGCACATCCCTGTAACGATAGCAGTATTCAGGTAAATATTTCTATCGCTGCGTTTGACGCGTTTTCTCGACTGACTTGCATGTAATTTTTGCTCTACTTGAATATATTCCGTGTAAGTTTTATTTTCTATATTGCAGCAAATGCATTCAAAAATAATTTAATTCTCGGAATAGATCTAGTTTCTGTTGAGTTTTTACTTTTCAAACATGTATATTGGTTAGATTTATGGACTTCTTAAAACTTTGCTATCGGAGATGTGCACATGTCGACAGCCAGGATAGAAAATCACTCAAGTGAAACAGTTCTGAAATCCTATATATAGCAGGTACAGGTGGCCAAAAATGTTCGATTTAATATGGCGGAATCGAGGAAATATGGCGGACAAAGGCGTACAGGAATTTAGTAAGTCGTACAAATATGATAAATGATGGCTTTTTAAGAGTTCATGTCAGCTTTAATATTAAAGGTAATTCTGCTCCTGTGTTAAATCTCTCAGATAAATCTAATTTTGTTCTGTGCCTTGTTTTCTGCTGAGTCAGCTGATTGAGGAATGGGATAATTCTTGAAATGGGGTGGGATGGGGGTTACATATGCATATTCTATGGGTGCGTCGATTTACCCTAAAAGAACCCAAAAGGAAATCAAAAGGGCTCAAATAAATATATCAATATACATTGAAAATTAATAATTCGAATTAAATTATAATTATTATATTATAAATTTACCTTAAAGTTTGCAAAAACACACATTTATAATATTGGAACTTAATATTATGATACAACTTTTATTACACATTAAACACTTAGTCTAAACCTGGTCAGATATGCTTTGATTTCTTTTAGCTGAAATTTACAAAGTACACTGTATTATTCTATTTCTCCTTTGTTTTACCATATCTTACTATATGGTATTTGATAAATAGAGAAATAAAGTTTTATTTAAAGACATGTTCTAGGCATATGGTATTGGGGTGGGTGTGTGTATGGGGGTTGGTGTGTGTATGGGGGGGTGGATGGGTGGGTGGTGGGGGACCTCCCATTCCCACCCCAAACACAAACTTTACCTTCAAAAAACTAGTTTTAGTTTTAATAAAATATGAAAGTATTTATTATATATCCATTTATTCTCTTTATTTCAAGTCCTTTTGGGTCGTTCTTAATTTCCTTTTGGGTCCTTTTGGGTTCCTTTTGGGTCCTTTTGGGTTCTTTTGGGTAAATCAATGCACCATATTCTGTGAAGAATTGGTTGAGTTTCCAAAGAATAAGTAGAAATATACTGTGTTAAATCTCTCAGAGATAAATCTGATCTTGTTCTGTGCCTTGTTTTCTGATGAGTAAGCTAATTGCAAGAGGAATAAAAAAATTCGGAAAAGAGGGTAGGGGTGAGACAAACAGTCATATTCCAAGATGAGCAACTGATTGAGTTTATACATTTTTCAAAATGAAAATTATAAAGGTTCAAGAATACTGTTAACCAACTTTTGTTCAAGTGCGAGAAATTTTAGCGAAGTTCGCGACAGTCTCACCATCGCGAATATTTCTCGCCACGAACCGGTACGTTACACCCCTCTGTCTATTTACAAAAGATCAAAAGAGGCCTAATCGCAAAAAATAATCATCGCCAAATAGTGTACCCTTGGTATCTCACAAAATAAAGTCGTTGCAAATTAAAGTTGATTTACAGTATGCAAATTCAGAATCCAAATATTTATTCAAGTCCATTTTCAGTTAATGGCCTATACAGGGATTGACTGAGGAACAGACTACATTCAAAGCACTCTTAACCATGTTAACAATCAACATCAACCATTTAAGAAGAATTTCCAAGAACCATACACATTCCAAAGGAAAACTTCAGTCTTGTCAACCATGTAAAAGAATTCTCGAGACCCATAAACATTCCAAAGGAAATCTTCAGTCTTACGTATTCAAAGTACTTACAAATAACTACTGAATTCAGTAAGTCCTTATAACACCCAGCAGTAGCACTGTAAACATTACAGTGTGTGTTATGTATTGATATCAAACACTCCAACCGGAGTATAATCTTATATCAACCCTACTTCAGAGGCCCCAAGTCTCTCCGATTCCATTAACCGTGATGTAATAATAAATACACAGTTAAAGCACATAGATCGACAGTTAAATCTGAGAGAAACATCTTAGCAAATTCTTCGATATTTAGTTTTCTGTAAGCAGAACTCAAAAAAAAAAAAATATTTTAAGTGAGATCACTAATGTCCAGCTGACATATCAATTTCTTTAAAAAAGATGAACCTCTATTCAAAGGTCACCTCTCTATAAAGTTCACTTTTGATAGATCCCGTAGGTGACCACTTAATACAGGTTTGACTGTATTTAGTTTTCTGTAAGTAGAACTCAAATTCTTACAGCCAGTTGAATAAACTGTTAACTCTTTCAACACTGAGTAACTTTTATCAGGCAACCCCCAGTACATTGAGTAACTTAAGCCATCATCAGAAAATTCATCTACCATTAGAAAAAATACTATAACTTCTTTATTTAATTAAATATTTTAATAAAAGACACATCATAAGAAAGGTGAGGCATTTCTCTTTTAAATGATATAAATTTTATATATCTAAAAAATTATTTATCAAGTCAAAAAAACTATTAAATTCATAATTACATTTTATAACGGATCTTATGCAATAATTTGATAAATTTGCTGCTATGAAGTTTCAAAATCAATTATGTTCTACCATGGTTCAAAAAGAGAAATTATTTCTGAGTAAAATGATATGCAATATGTCAGCATTTATCAAAAAGCAAGTCCATAATTGTCAATAAATAAAACAGGGTGTTTCAGAACATCGGAAGAAGTCTGGCGCATTGAAAACATCCTCTGTTTAGGAGCCTTGATATTCCGATTCCAAGTCATCTTTCTCCGACAAAATTTCACAACATTGTTAATAACTCATGTATTTGTTGTCTAGAAACATTTATAATGTCTAATTCCCTCATTTTATGAAATCTTTCATCGCCAGAAAGATCGGACATTTCGTCGTTTACCGCCATTTTGCCTTCTTCTTCGTTTTTTTTACTAATCATCTAATTTTCCTTATTTTTTCTTATTTTTCGTCATGTCGGCCGCCATTTTTGTAAACGGATGTTTACATCATTCTACCCATAATTCATAGCGAAAGATTTTGCGCAGAGAACACTTCCTATTTCTAAGAATAACTTGTTTACTTTCACCATGTGCCTGAGACCGAAATTTCGGTCTACCTTGTTCAACGACGTTTTTTTTTTTTTACCGAAATTTCGGTCTACCGTGTTGAAAGGGTTAAACAAAGTGTTCCCCTACCCACACAGTTAGGTAATACCCCCCCCCCCCAAACTCTTGCTGTTTAACTTCTTTAATTTTCACACTCATCTTTCTTTGATAGTTTACCATTCCTTATACCCATGTCATATTTGCATTTCATTTCTTCTCTAACCCTTTCTATTTAACCACTCTCCATGATTCCTCAATTTTTTTTTTATTACTATCCCCCATCCCCAACCAAACCCTCCCTGCAACCCACATTCCCATCCCCTAATGAAACTCTCCACAGTAGCTCCTTGACAGATTGATTAGCCATACTATGACTCCCCTTATATTTCACTTCTATGGCTTTTCCCTGACTTACCATTTCTTCCAGCTGTTCTATCTTCATCTCTAACTCTTCCAGCTCTTTCTCTTTCTGGTCTTCCTCCAATTTTTTAATTTTTTCTCCGAAATCGTATGTCATGTCTGCCGCCTGTCTCTTCAGCTCGATCTCAAGTTGAACTTTGAACTCTGACTGCACGTCCATGATCTCAGCTCGATGTTCATGCTCCAAGTCCTGAAAAGCATTTCCTCATTTTTCACATTTGTTTCTTTTATTTGTATAGTAATACTAAAAATATACCTTAATTCCTATTTCAATGCCTTGATCTGCCTTCTCTCTCACCCCTTTCTCCCCCTCTTCCTCTCCATTTCTCTCTCTTTCTCATCTCTTTCATTGCCTCTACTTGCTCTCTCTCTAACTCTCTCTCACCTGTCTTAATGCCTCTATCTGCTCCCTATGCTGATGCTGTAGCTCGTCGTACTGCTCCTCTTACACTCTCTCTCTAACTCTCTCTCACCTGTCTTAATGCCTCTATCTGCTCCCTATGCTGATGCTGTAGTTCATCATACTGCTCCTCTAATACTCTCTCTCTAACTCTCTCTCACCTGTCTTAATGCCTCTATCTGCTCCCTATGCTGATGCTGTAGTTCATCATACTGCTCCTCTTATACTCTCTCTCTAACTCTCTCTCACCTGCTTTAATGCCTACTATCTGCTCCCTATGCTGATGCTGTAGTTCATCATACTGCTCCTCTAACACTCTCTCCTGCTCCAGTGATGCGTCCAGCTCTTGTTGAAGTTTCAGCAGTTTATCACTGATCTCGCCTGTCGTTCTCTCGCTCGACTCTTCACACTCTGCCAGGTCTCTCCTACACTTCTCCTCCACTTCTTCCTTCTCTCTCTCCAGAATCTTCAATATGGCCTCTTTTTCCTTCAATCTGTTATTCATTTCTTCAATATGGCACTGTTTTTCACGCATCATTTGCTCCATCTCTGTGACCTTGCTTTCTGTCAAGGTCATTTTCTCCCTAAGTTCTATATTTAGTTGAGACTCTAATTCTAGTTTCTCCTGAAGTTCAGCAATTTCATTGGATTTTTCCTCCAGTATTTTTTCTAATTCCTGGATCCTACTGTCACTGTCTACTGTTGCCTTTGCTTCACTCTGTTCACTGCTTTCTTGATTCTGTTCTTCACTTTGTGAGGTCACTTCCTCTTTCAGTGATGTCACTTCCTGTGTTGTGGCTTCTAGCTGACTGCGTAGTTCTTTTATTTGAGATTCATAATGATCTTTTAAATCCTGGGTTTCTTTTTCATGCTCTTCCTTTAGTCTAGTCTGCATGGCTTCTTCTGTAAAATAAAACATTTCACATATTATCTCTAACCTGTCAAGAAAATAAATTCATGCACTTTCTGTTTATAAGTAAGTCTAACATTGGGAATTGACCTGTATCAATATCTTTTACCTGTTTACTTATTGAGAAAATGTCTTCATAAATATTTTCCATCATTAGATGCATCAACCATGCAAGTTAAATCATAACAGGCTGTAAATTACAGTGCTACTCTAAAAACATTACCCTGATCACTCATCTGGAAAATATAAGGTCAGATCCAGTATCTGATGCAATCTGATCTGCACTGCATAATCCTGGTGAAGTTGATCTATTTAAAACTCTGGTGGAGTTGATCTATTTATAACTCAGGTGGAGTTGACCTATTTATAACTCTTGTGGAGTTGATCAATCTATAACTCTAGTGGAGTTGTTCTATTTATAACTCTGGTGGAGTTGACTTATTTATTACCTGACTGCTCCTCTACTTTAGTTTGGAACACTTTGATCTGCTCCGCGTAACTCTGGTGGAGTTGTTTTATTTATAACTCTGGTGGAGTTGTTCTATTTATAACTCTGGTGGAGTTGATCAATTTATTACTTGACTGTTCCTCCACTTTAGTTTGGAACACTTTGATCTGCTCCACGTAACTCTGGTGGAGTTGTTCTATTTATAACTCTGGTGGAGTTCTTCTATTTATAACTCTGGAGGAGTTGATTTATTTATAACTCTGGTGGAGTTGTTCTATTTATAACTCTGGTGGAGTTGACCTATTTATTACCTGACTGTTCCTCCACTTTAGTTTGGAACACTTTGATCTGCTCCGCGTAACTCTGGTGGAGTTGTTCTATTTATAACTCTGGTGGAGTTGACCTATTTATTACTTTGGTGGAGTTGATCTATTTATAACTCTGATGGAGTTGACCTATTTATTACCTGACTGTTCCTCCACTTTAGTTTGAAACACTCTGATCTGCTCCACGTAACTCTGGTGGAGTTGTTCTATTTATAACTCTGGTGGAGTTGTTCTATTTATAACTCTGGTGGAGTTGACCTATTTATTACTTTGGTGGAGTTGACCTATTTATTACCTGACTGTTCCTCCACTTTAGTTTGGAACACTTTGATCTGCTCCGCATAACTCTGGTGGAGTTGTTCCATCTCTCTCTGGAGTTTCTCCACTTCCTGTGTCTGGGTTGCCATGACTTCCGCTCGGACCTTGAGAAGTTGTTCGTACTCCTCTAACATACGAGAGCGGAGCGCCGCGATCTTCTTCACGCTGGGTTTCCAAAGTCTCCTGGACATCTGCAAAATAACGCATATTATACAGTAAATCATGCTTAAAGTGAACGCAAATTAACTTGTACAGTAATATGATTTTCATTCCAAAAACTTGTAAATATATACTTAACAAGAGGCCCACGGGCCTTATAGGTCACCTGAGCATTATGCATCAACTTTCCTGTTATTGAATTTGATTCATGTTTTAATTTAAGCCAGATGATATATGGCATTCACAATTTTGAAAGAGGCACCATTGGTCATAATAACAGTACACTTAACAGTTGCTTAGCTTGGTTACTGAATATCCATACGCAGGGTAGGGGACCAACTAATCAGTAATATTCAGCAATAATCAGTAGTGCGCCTAACACTGTGAAATAAACCCCTTACCCTAGGTCCACACATTGCACAAATTTAATAAGACACTCTTAAAATTGCCTATCAAAAAATAAATGAATGTTTTATAAATACAAAGGAGCAGATTTCAAACAATTTATTTTCAGTAAATAAGTAGAGCCCTCCCCCCACCCCTGACCCAGGTTCCTTGAAATTCACAAGTCTGCAGCTTAGGGCCCTTGCTCGTCATGACTATATAGGTAGTTAATCTGCTTCATACCCAAAGACAGAGAAGAAAATTTTCAAAGATTTAATGGATTTTCACTATATAATCAAAAGAGCCCTGCCCTAACATCAGAACCCCTGACTCTGGGGCCATAAAATTCATAATTTTAGAAGAGGCATTCTTGCCCATCATAACTATGTACTTAGTTAGTCTATTTAATTCCTAGGAGCAGAGAAGAAGATTTTCGAAGAATTCATGTATTTTTACTATATAATCTATAGAGCCCCCCGCCCACCTCCTCAACACCAGAACCCCTGACCTTTGGACCATTAAATTTACAATTTTGGTTGAGGCACTCTTGATCATCATAACTATGCACTTAGTTAGTTTATTTAATACCTAGGAGCAGAGAAGGTTTTCAAAGAGTTCATGAATTTTCACTATATAATTAATAGAGCCCCCCCCTTCAACATCAGAACCCTTGACCCTGGGGCCATAAAATTCACAATTTTTGTTGAGGCACTCTTGCTCATCATATCTATTTATTTGGTTAGTTTATTTAATACCATGGAGCAGAGAAGAAGATTTTCAAAGAATTATTGTATTTTCATATATTATCAATAGAGCCCCCCCCCCCCCACACACACACACCAGAACCCTTGACCCTGGGGCCATAAAATTCACAATTTTCGTAAAAGCACTCTTGCTCAACATAACTATACACTAAGCTAGTTTATTCAATACCTAGAAGCAGAGTAGATGATTTTCAAAGAATTCATGTATTTTAATATGTAATCTATAGAGCCCCGCCCTAACACCAGAACCCCTGACCTTGGGACCATAAAATTCACAATTTTTGTTGAGGCACTCTTCCTCATCATAACCATGCACTTAGTTGGTTTATTTAATACCTAGGAGCCGAGAAGAAGATTATCAAAGAATTCATGTATTTTCACTATATAATCAATAGACCCCCCCCCAACACCAGAACCCTTGACCCTGGGGCCATAAAATTCATAATTTTGACTGATACACTTTTGGTCATCATAACTATGTACTTGGTTAGTTTATTTAATACCCAGGAGCAGAGAAGAAGATTTTCAAAGAATTCATGTATTTTCACTATATATAATCAATAAAGCCCCACCCTAACACCAGAACCCCTGACCCTGGGGCCATAAAATTCACAAATTTTGTTGAGGCACTCTTGCTCATCATAACTATGCACTTAGTTTATATAATACCCAGGAGCAGAGAGGAAGATTTTCAAAGAAATAATGCATTTTCACTATATACTCATTAAGCCCCGCACTAGCACTAGAACCCCTGACCCTGGGGCAATGAATTTCACAATTTTGGTAGAGGACTCAATGGTGATTACAATCATGCAAACAGTTTGACTGCTTGATGTCCAGGAGTAAAGAAGAAGATTTTTAAAGATTGAATTAATTTTAGTGGTTTTGGCCCCGCCCCTCAGGCCCAATGGGGGCAGGGATCATGAAATTCACAATTTGTGTTCCCTTTTAGCCATAGATGCTTTGTGCCAAATTTGGTTCAAATTGCTGCAGTGGTTGCAGAGAAGAAGCTGAAAATGTTCAAATGTAAACACACGATGGACAACGGACGACTCACGTCGCACGATGACGGACGAAAACGGATAGCAATAGGTCACCTGAGTTTACTCATGTGACCTAACAAAAGTAAAGAAGCAAAATTGTCACTTATTGGCATTTCGTTTCAAGTGCCATGTTTTTACTGCAAAAAGACCAATGAGCAACATGTAATATTCTGAAGTGCCCTTTAAAAAATTTTACTGTACATAACATTTTACTGCAATGCATGCAGAAAAGCTGATCAATCATATTTTATTGATTTGATAGAAACAACATTTCAACTCTAAGTATCTTCACAATGCAACAGTTTTGAAAAATGTCATTACAAACTTCATAATGAGAAGACAAATACTGAGTAACTTCTACCAACATTTTGCAAAATACACAGAAATTTAAAATGATTTAAGCTCAAAAAACAATTTACAATTCATTTACTTCATAAGAATAGTTCTTGTCACAAATCATTTACAGTATTTAACTGAATGTAAACAAACTGTTTCTTCACTTGTTTCATCTCTTTTATGTTGCAATGTATTTATACAGAATGTTTCTTTAGTTGATAAAATTGATAGCTGGATTTCAAACTGAGGAATCCAGGTTAATAGTAACATTGTCATGGACAATAGTAGGTTTGCAATCAGATACTCTATATGGATCTGATCCTTTTGAAGTAAAACTCTCACGTACTGCAACCAAGCGGCCTCATCTCGGCACTTTGTGTGTAGACTTGAGATATGTCTGCCATCCTTTTACAGAGGACGTCTACGGGAATCTCGTATCCGTAGGTGTATTTCCATTTGGCCGCTTCATATCGAGCCCTCTGTACCTGTGATCGGCTGTCAGCTGAAAATTCAAAATTAATATTAATTAACATAACTTCAATGGGAAAATACTGCCAGTTAAAAAATCAGAAGTCTCTGTCTAGACTGAAGCTCTACTGGTTTGTACTTTTAGCAAAGGAAGAGAAAAGTACTGAAGCAGTTGTAAATTGAAACTGAAACTTTTCAACAGCAATAAATATAATAATGACCCTTGATTAAGTCTCTTTATGTTCTTATTATAGTCTACTTGCATGCCACTTTATATTATAATCAGACTAAAACTGTATTTGGAGTAGCATTTTGAGAGTATTTAACAGAAATTTCTATTTTAAGTAACCATGGCAACACCATTCATTGAAGCAAAAAACTGATATACAGAATTATGTATCTTAGTGTAGTCTACTAATGTGCCAAGTTATATTGAAATCAGACTAAACTATAGGAGGAGTAGCATTTTGAAAGAATTTCACAGAAATTTCTATTTTTAGTAACCATGGCAACACCATTCATCGAAATCAAATTCCAATAAACAGAATTTTGTATCTCAGTGTAAACTACTTGCTTGCCAAGTTATATTGAAATCATACCAAAACTGTAGGAGGAGTAGCATTTTGAAAGAATTTCCAAAAAATTTCTATCTTTAGTAACCACTGCAAATCAAAAACCGATACACAGAATCATGTATCTTAGTGTAGACTACTAGTTTGCCAAGTTATATTGAAATCAAACCAAAACTGTAGGAGGCGTGGCATTTTGAAAGATTTCTATTTTTAGTAAAATGGCAAAATTCATCAAACCAAAAATCAAACAAACTGTTCATCGAAATCAAAAACCAATACACAAAATTATGAATCTTAGTGTAGACTACTTGTTTGCCAAGTTATATTGAAATCAGACTAAAACTGTAGGAGGAGTAGCATTTGAAAGAATTTCATAAAAATTTCTATTTTTAGTAACCATGGACACACCATTAAGGTATTCAATGTATAACGACCATATTTTATACCTAATAAATGAACGGTCCAATATTTTTAATCATGGTAGCAATTTGAAGATGTTATCAAATGAAAATGCTCCACCAAAGGAATTTACAAAATTTTGATTATTGTCCAATTAATATCACTTTGAATTTTACATTGAAGTCTATGGGCAGTGCATGTTTTTATAAGATATTGTAAAAAGTAATTTGAATTTCAAAGAAATCTCTTGGTGAAAATATGCATAAACTCCCTCTTTATAAAAATATAAAATAAAATAAATTATTTACTGCAGAAATTTTGTGAAATCAAAAATTTTCATCTTTTCATCAAGGGCAAATAACTCTTCAAAAACTGTAAATGTACAAAATGACCATCTCCTGACATGTTATCAGTCTTGTGAATTTGGTTTATTTCACTTTTATCGTTTTCTAGCTTTGTGCTTTTAACTAATTTAAAATTATTTAAAATCAGTCAAAATCCCTTCGTTATACATTGAATACCTTAACTATATTTCTTTACTTAATTTTGTATTTTTCAAAAATAAATTTTTTTGATCAGTTACGCCATATATGGCTTTAAAAGATGTTTTAAATCAACTAAATGGAAAACATCATACCTTTGTCTTCATTCAAATGACATGATAGGACTTCAATTTACATACCAGCTACATATCTGACCTTTTTAAGGTACATTAACCCTCTGCGCACTCATATGAATTTTTTTTTTAACTTTTATGATTTTACAGAGGAAATGTATAAGCTGAATAAAAAAAACCAAACAATTATAGAATGGCTTGCTGGGCAAAATTTGACCAAAAAAAACCCCACTTCAACTTGGCAAATTTATATAGGAATATTAGACATTTGTGTCATTAAGAGTTATCTCTCTTATCAGAGTGTCAATTTACCTTAATTAAAACAACATCTTCTTCAGAAGGATTCCAGAACAAAACCAAAAGGTTCCTGACCATTTCCAATTTTAGAAATGAATTCAAATGAGAAACAAAGATTATGCTGATTTTAAAAGTAAAATTTAACTTACGTGCCTTGTATGTAAATTGATTCCTTATCAGAAAATCAGAAATTAAACCAGGCTTTTTACAATGAAATATCAAGCATGTAGAATAAGAAATGTTAAGATCATATG